GGGGGGGGGGGGGGGGGGGGGGGGGGGGGGGGGGGGGGGGGGGGGGGTTCTCGTGAACCATGGTCTTGTTTTGGGAGGTGTGTCGATTACTACCGTGGGGGTGGAGTCTCATGGCCATCTATGTTTGTTTGAACCACACCATAATACCGGACACGATCACCGAACGAAACGCGTCGTTTGCGAGCAGGCTCTTCCCGACGCGGAGGAATGGCTCCGGAATAACCTTATCGTAGCGGTGGGGTCTATGATCATTTCGGCCCCGGGCAAGGTGCTGAAGGGGACGGTCAACACCGTACACTCCATCGCCACCAAGTCCATCAGAGGCGCCGGCGGCCTAGTCAACACCACGGGGGTGAGAGAGAGAGCGAGAGAGAGAGAGAGAGCGGTGTAACCGTGAGCTTCTCCTGCGGTGTCGTGGTGCTTGACTCGGTACCTAATGTTTGTTGTAAAGACAAACACCAACACTAGTACCGATGATGCCGAGCTGTTTTTCAAATGCTCCTTCGCCCTCTCCAGAAAATATCAGCCCACATGGTCTAGTGGTATGATTCGACATTCGGGTTGTCGAGGTCCGGAGTTCGAATCTCCGTGTGGGCCGATTCTTTTTAACCCGCCCCTTCGGTGTTTGCCGTCGGGGTTAGGTTTTCGTCGCTTGGCAACGACATTCTATAACAAGCCAATCACTTGGTGAGCTCGGCAACCAGGTGACAGCTTTGTTATTTGGCTGGTTTTTTTTTTTGCAGTAACTATGATGGTGGTCGAGTACATTTTGTTGTGCGGGGTCGAGATACCTCACAACGCGCAAGGGGGATGATCGCACCACGTTATGTTACTTTGGACAAGCACTCTCGAGGCAGTTATACAATGCTTACAACTGTCTCTGGAAGTGGAAGCACCAGAAAATAAGAAAGGGAGTAAGCACAAGATGCCGAACACCCTTAGCAGGATGCAGCGCACCCTTCATGCGACTCGCCGAATATCTCACGGCGCTTCGCGCTTGGTGATGTGAGAGCCTGGTCCTGTGAGAACCCGGCGTGCTCCGTCCCGGCTTTGTAGGGATGCGAGATCAATGGTCTAACGACTACGGCATGCACGACTATGAGTAACCCCCCCCCCCTCCCCCTTCTCGAAGTACTTGCGTCACTAGCGCGGTGTGACATGGTACTTATGTTGAGCTGGAGCACAGCAGTTAGATCCTCCCGGAGCGTTGCTTGCCAGATGTATGTACGAGGGGTCTAGAGTGGGAACGCTACGATCATGGGTACCCCCCCCCCCCCCCCCCC